GATGCTCCAAATACAGGGTCCGGCACAAATAACTCCCCCTTTTTTTAATTACAAAATCATAAGCATGTAATCCTCTAACATAACAATATCACACTCAAGCACACCACATGGCATTTTAGGTGAAGTGTTCAAATTAAAACTATAGATTATTACACCCATATTATTGCCCTAGGAACCACACTCAAGCAGGCTGCACTTCTGCCGGACCCTGTAGACTGTGACTCCTGGCTGCGATTCCCCGTCTGTTCTAAGAATGGATGCCAGTGTGAACAGGAGGCTGGGGCCCACATCCCTGGAGCTCTCCAATACAGGGCGTAGTCAGTTGTTAATAGCTTGTGCATTATTGAGATTACAGGCCCATTGGGCAGACAGTAATTCTTCATTTTGTTTAGCACTTGGTGCTTTGATGCTTATTATTCAAAGAAACCAGCATCATCTCTGATGAGACATTGCTTATAACTTGTAGAAGAAATACCTCCCTGGGGTTGGTTTAGGACAGCTCCTCCTTTTTGTCTTTTACCCCACCCACTCCCTTCTCCGGGCCAAAAACAGCATTTTTTTCCCCTGAAGAGGTAAATGGAACTGTCAGAACAACCTGGGAGGGCTGAGTTGAACACCATGGACAGCGACGTGGATGTTCCTTGGCTTTCCTTCTGGTCAACCTTGTCCCCGAAACCAGTGTGCTGCAGTGGGAGTGGTGTGTTCACTCACAGCACCTTGGAGTCTTTGTGGGTCAGTCTCTTACTCTCATTATCCTTTTTCTGTCTTCAAGTGCACATTTACTCAGTTGATTTTTGACACATCTGTGGTATAATACCCATATTTTCTTTCATTCTTGATCAGAATCTACTAATCTTAGAACTGAGCAGACTGAGGCTTCTTACTGTGCCTAGTCTGGGACAACTTCTTGCTGAGATTCCTCTGCTATCAGGAGGGCTTTCTCTGTCGTGAGTTGTGTACTTGCTTGTGGCAGTATTTTCCTATTTGGGGCAAAAAGAGAAACTGAACAGCTCGGCTGATCTGGGCAGTATTTTCTCTAAGTGACATTTAAACATGTGCTTAGGCAGATCCAAGGCTCCTTTCATGCATTGAAGGCACTGGTTGGTGATGTCCAAGTGCTGTAAGGCAGGTGATGGAGCACAGCCACCCCCAGCGGTCACACGGAGAAGCCGTTCGTGGGCTTGAGCGAGGAGCCCAGACGCCTCGGATTTTCCTTGTTCAGGGACTTGTGTACCTCAAGTGGAAATCGTCTCACCCTTTCTGAACCTCGTATTTGCTGACCTGTAAAAAGGGGTCAGGAGTGTGTGTTAGAGGAGTACCGTGGTGTCTGTGTCCTCTGAGTGCTCTCTGGCAGATGTTTTTCTAACCCTTGGAGCCAGCATTGGCATTTTGAGCAGGTTTGTTGGCACAAGACTGACTTGCAGCAGCAGGGAGAGGGGATCATGTCTGTCTCACGTGGATTCTGCTCTGAGAACTCACAGTCCATTTTCTTTTCCCCGTAGCACCTAGTACCCAATCACCGCCCAACAAGTGAGAGTTACAGAATGCTAGGCTGCTGGCCTGCCCATTAGTTACCTTGGCCTTTGACAAAGACTCGTCTGCTGAGAAGGCCAGTGAGCCTGAGACCCCTGCCTCAGGAGGGCAGCTGGCCTCCTAAGCAGAATGATTAGTTGGGAGACCACAAGACTTAGTCCCTCTTAATCAGGCAGTAACTAGATAACCTGGTTGGAAATTTGGTTAGCATTTTCCAGATTTTCCACATTGAGGAGGGAGTTATCACCAGCAATTTGGGAGCCTAATTTTGTGTTTATTACATGGTGACTTTGCTTTTTAAACTATCAGGATTATGCCCGGGAAGGACTTGGAAGTGGCAAGTCACAGTGCTCAGCTTCAGGACAGGATGTTCTCATGTAAAAGTTCTGTCCATGTCCACGTCCATCTAATCTCCACGTCCGCACACCTTATGTGACTACTTCCTCGTTCCTCCTCATAACGCGATTGCGTCTGTGTACTTCTCCAGGTACCCCTGTATTGTAAATCATCAGATGTGGGCCCCCGAAGAGGGGTGTAACCTTGGGTAAGGCGGCTCCCTTTGGGCAAGGGCAGTTTCTGGGGAGGGACTTGTGATCTCTCAGCACCAGAACCCTGAGTGCCTCAGTTCTGAAGGGGGAATCTAAGTGGCACACCACAGCATCCACCTCTGCAGTGGCCTCAAAGTGTGTCCTCTGACCAGCAGCATCAGCATCACTTGGGAAATGGCAGTTCTCCAGTTCCACTCCAGAACTGCTGAGTCAGAGGCAGGGTGGGACTGGGCAGTCTTTTGACAAGTCCTCCAGTGATTCTGCTGCACACCCAAGTTTTAGAATCACTGCATTATAAAGCTGTAACTTTTTATTTTTCAGGGTCTTTTTTATTTGAGGTGTAATTGACATGCAACATATTAGTTTCAGGTGTACAGCATAATGATTTGATATTTGCAAATATATTGCAAAATGAACACCATGAGAAGTGTGCCACCATACGTAGTTATTTTTTTTCTTGTGATGAGAACTTTTAAGATTTACTCTTAGAAACTTTCAAATACCTGCAATATAGTACTAACTATAGTCACCGTGCTCTACATTACATCCTTATGACTTATTTATTTTGTAACTGAAAGTGTGTATCTTTTAACCCCCTTCACTCATTTAGCCTCTCCTCTGGCAACCACTAAGCCATTCTCTGTATTTAGAGGCTTGGGTTGTTTTTGTTTGTTGATGTTTTTTGGTTTTGTTTTTTTTTTAGATTTGATGTATAACTGATACCATACAGTGTCTTTCTCTGACTTACTTCACTTAGCATAATGCCCTCAAGATCAGTCAATCTCTGTTGCAAATGGCAGGATTTCCTTTTTATGGCTGAATAATATCCAACTGTGTGTATATTACATTTTCTTTTTCCATTCATCCATTGAGGGACACTTAAAGTTGTTTCTATGCCTAAGCTATTGTAAATAATACTGCAGTGAACATGAGGGTGCATGTATCTTTTTGAGTTAGTGTTTTCATTTTCTTTGGATAAATACCCAGAAATAGAATTGCTAACTCATATGGTAATTCTATTTTTAATTTTTTGAGGAACTTTCATACTGTTTTCCATTGTGGCTGCACCAAGTTACATTCCTACCAACAGGGTTCCTTTCCTTTTCTCACCATCATTTGTTATTGCCTTTTTGATAATAGACATTCTAACAGATGTCAGGTGATAGTGGTTTTGATTTATATATCCTTGATAAGTAATGATGTTGAGCTCCTTTTTGTGTACCTGTTGGTCATGTGAATGTCTTTGGAAAAATGTTTATTCGGATCCTGTGCCTTTTTTTTTTTTTTTTTTTTTTTTTTTTTTTTGCTATTGAGTTGTGTTAGTTCTGTATATAGTTCAGATGTTAACCCCTTGTCGAATATGTGATTTGCAAATATTTTCTTTTATTCTCTAGGTTGTCTTTCCATTTTGTTGGCGGTTCCCTTTGCTGTGTAGTAGAATTTTAATTAGATATAACATCTAAATCTATGGATGCCTAGATTTCTCTCTACTTTTTGTGTATCTACTATCAGTTTTTGCTTTGTGGTTACCATGAGGCTTAAATATAAAAACTTAAAATGGTCTTTTTCAAGTTGGTAACTTAAGTTTGGACACATTTTAAAGCTGTACATTTTTACTCACCTTTGTTTTTGAAGCCACATTTTATGTCCTTTTATCTTTTATATCCCTTAACTAGTGTAGTTATAGTTGTTTTGTCTTTAACCACTTACAGCTGGTATGAAGGTTAAATCTACTATGTTTACATTATATTATTCTAAATTTTAATATGTTTATCTTTACTAGTGAGATCTATACTTTGATATATTTTCCTGGTACTCATTAACACTGTTTCTTGTCAGCCGAAAGAAGTCCCTTTGCCCTGACCTGTGTTGCTCCATCGGTTGGGCATTGTCTCACAGAGCAAAGGGTCACTGGTTCAGTTGCCAGTTGGGGCACGTGCCTGGGTTACAAGCCTGGTCCCCAGTTGGGGCATATGTGGGAGGTGACGGATCCCAGTTTCTCTCCCTCTCTTTCTTCCTCCCTTGCCCTGTCACTAAAAAGAAATAAATAAAATATTTAAATAAGAACCTAGAAAAACGTTTTTTTAAAAAAGTCCCTTTAATATTTCTTGTAAGGGTGATTTAGTGGTGATGAACTCCTGTAGTCTTTGTTTGTCTGGAAAACTTTCTCTCCCCTTTAATTTTCAGTGACAACTTTGTTGGGTATTCTTGATTGGGATTTTTTTGTTCTCTCAACACGTTGAATATATCATACCACTATACTCCGGTCTGTAAAGTTTCTGTCAAAAAAATCTACTTATAGGAGCTCCTTTGTATATAACAAGTTGTGTTTGTCTTGTTGCTTTTAAGATTCTCTCCTTGTTTTTTAACTTTTAACAATTTAATTACAGTCTGTTTTGGTGTGTGTCTCTTTGGACTTCCTGGATGTGGACGTTTGTTTCTTTTCAGAGGTTATGGAAGTTTTCAAGCCATTATTTCTTCAAATAAATTTTCTGCCTCTTTCTCTCTGTCTTCTCTATCTGGGAACCCTATAATGCAAATGTTGTTCTGCTTGATGTTGTCTCATAAGTCTTTTGAGCTACCTCCAGTTTGGAAGTTTTCAAGCCATTTAAAAAAAAATTTTTTTTTGAGGGGAAGGGAAGGAGAAAGAGGGAGAGAAATATGAGTGTGTGGTTGCTTCTCGCACACCCCCTACCGGGGACCTGGCCGGCACCCCAGGTGTGTGCCCTGACCGGGCCAACACTCAGTCCACTGAGCCACACCCCCCAGGGCTCAAGCCATTATTTCTTCAAGTAAGTTTTTGCCCCTTACTCCCTCTCCTCTTCACCTGGGACACCTATAATGCAAATGTTGTTCTGCTAGATGTTGTCCCATAAGTCCCTGAAGCTATCATCACCATTTTTCATTTTTCTTTTGCAGCTGTCATTGTTTGAATTCCACTGCTCCGACTTCAAATTCATGGACCCTTTCTTCTGAGTCGCCTAGTCTGTTATTGAATCCTTGTAGTATATTTTTCAGTTCAATTATTCTTCAGCCCTGTGACTTCTACTTGGTAATTTCTTTTATTTTCTATTTCTTTGATGTCCTCACTGTGTTCATTCATTCTTTTCCTGAGATCAGTGAATATCTTTAAGACCATTATCTTGCATACTTTTCTCAGGTAAATCACTTATCTCCATTTTATTAAAGACTTTGTGAGGTTTTATTTTGTTCTTTCATTTGGAACATAATCCTTTGTTGATTTCCGATGACTGTCTGTTGGTTTCTGTGCATTAGAAAGAACAGTCACATCTTCCAGTGCAGAAACAGTGCCCTTGTGTAGTAAGTGAACCTTACCATTCAACCCTGTGTTAGTCTTGGTTGTCTCTCAAACCCTTGTGATTGTCCAAACAGCATATTTTATTCTTAGTGGCTCCCAATAGATGTGGGTGTGCCAATACCTGTGAGTGTTCTGAAGGAGAGGATCTCAGTCAGCAGCTTTTAATATATCCAATCATCTGGTCAAGATGGCAGAGTAGGTAAATGCTGTGCTTGCCCCCTCCCACAATCACATCAGAATTTCAACTGAAGTATAGAACAGCCATCCTTGAGAACCACCAAGACTAGATGAACAAAAGTACGTTCCAGGGACATAAAAAGAAGCCACGAGACTGGCAGGGGCGGAGATGTGGAGTGGGCAGGTCCCACCCCCACTGTGTGGTGATTAAGAACTGTGAGGGACACCTTGGCTTTGGACGCCCCTCTGAGGAGAGAGGGGTCCCAGCCCCACACTGGCTCCCCCGTCCGTGGTTCCAGTGCCAGGAAGAGGAGTCCCTGGAACGTACAGTTGTGAAAACCAGCAGAGATTGCATTCTCTTTGAACGCCAGTCATACGTGTTCTTTTTGAGAGTTGCACAGAGATCACTTGTGCACAGACTCACTCGCTTTGGGTTCCGGTGTGGAGGCGGCAGCTCAAAGAGCACCAGGGACATACAGGGAGGAACTGAATTGATTGGCTTCTGGGCAAGGGCTGAGGGGCGAGGTCAAGTAGCCTTCTCCAGGGTTGGAGGCCCTGTCAGGTGCCCGCCCCCCATACAACCGGCAAGTGCAGACAGGTGCCAATCTGAGCTCTCCATTAACCTGGTTAACACCATTTGCCCAGTCCTGGCGATTCCCTGAGACCTCGCCCCACCCAACTCACATGCCTGGCCCAAGCCACCTCCAGCAGCTTTTCCACAGAAGTGGCCTGTCTTGACTTGCACTTTGAACTTTCCTAAAATCTCTCAAGCAAGCAGCAGCTGGCCTCAGCATTCCCTGTACCTCTTGGTAAGCGGTTCCAAGCCTGGCACAAACTCCACAAGCTGAGACCAGTTTGCTGCAACTCCCATCAGGTGGCACCAAGCCTGGCATAAGCTGTGCCCAGTATTGACCTGAAACGGTAGCTTCCGCTGAGCAGCCACACACCCAGCACAAGAGGCGGTTGGCGTCAGCTCACACTGTGATGGCCATCAAAGGGCCCCCAGCCCGGCACTAGTGGCAACTAACCAGCGGTCACTTTTAGCTCCCACCGCAACCCCTGCACGAACGGTGGCTGACCTTGGCCCACACCACAGCCCCTCTCAGGGGCATCCAGGAGCCTCCAGGACCAACACACTCTGGCCGGTTTCAGGCCACACCCGAGCACCCCACCCAAACAGCGGCCCTCATGACACGCCCACAGGGTGGACTCAGCAGGCAAAATTTAAAACTCTAATTTGAAAAGATCTATGCGCCCGTGTGTTCATTGCAGTATTATTTACAATAGCCAAGATATGGAAACAACCTAAGTGTGCAAGAAGATGTGGTAAATATAGACAATGGAATGTTACTAAGCCGTAAGAAGAAAGTTTGCCGTTTGCAGCAACGTGGATGGACCTAGAAGGTATTATGCTGAGTGAAATAAGTCAGAAAGGTAAATACCGTATGATTTCACTTACAAGTGAAATCTAAAAAACAAAATAAATGAACAAAGCACAAACTCAGAGATACAGAGGTTAAATTGATGGTTGCCAGATGAGCTGAGGAGATGAAAGGTGAAGTTGGATTAAGTAGTACAAGTTGCTAGCTCTAAAAAGTCAAGATGTAAAGTACAGCATAGGGAATATAGTCAGTAATATCGTAATAACTATGTGTGGTGTCAGATGGGTACTGGACTTAGTAGGTTGATCGCTTCATATGTTATATAAGCATCTAATCACTGTTATACACCCGAACTAATATAAAACTGTAAGCCAACTGTAATTGGGGGGAAAGTATATAAATATGTGCAGTCTTGTGGGACCACAAACGTAAGTCCTGCAGGCCGCTAGAGCTGGGCTAGATGTGTGCCAGAGCTGAGGCCAGCGCAGGCCAGAGCTCCAGGACTAGCAAATACGCCTTTCACAGAAAGGCAGGGTGTGTCTGTGTGGTGCCCTGGGGGTGGGAGCTGGCCAAGAATTCTGTTTGTTACAGTCCCATGGGACCGAGGAACCCACGTCCTGCTGCCTGCCAGAGCTAGGCAATCAGGGGGCGTGCCCTGTTCGGTAGCCACAGAAACCAGGGCACCAGGCACATACAGAAGCCCATCTCCAGGAAACAGTGGCGCTCTGGGGTGCAGCAGAGGGAGAGTGTGGAGCCGGTGCTCGCCCTCAGAGGTCTCTGAAGAGGACGACGGTGGGCCCTTACGTGTGTGTAATTATCAGCCTGCCCCACGGGCTGCAAGCTGTGGCTATTTTTAAAGCTTTTTGAAAAAAACTACAGTGGAGCCTCAGTTCTCAAACAATAAATTGTTCTCGAAAACTGTTTGAGAAGTGATTTGTTAAAAAACTGAACCTGCTTTGTCTCCTGAGAGAAGCATGAGTGATTTTACAGGTATCAGCTTGAAAGGGTTGTTGCATAGAGAACTGAGACCCGAAGTTTATTTGCTGAGACATTTTTTCATGAACAACTTGGTTGAGAACTGAATCGTTCAAGAACCAAGGCATTTAGGAACCAAGGTTTGACTGTACTTTAAAATGTTAAATACACACGTATCATTGCTGTTCCACTCCTAGGTATTTAAACCAAGGGAAAGGAAGGCATATGTCCATACAAATGAATGTTTGCATGAACTTTACTTGTGATAGCCTAAAATAACTCAATTTCCTTCAGTAGATGAATAAACCATGATATTATGTATCTATACAATGGAATGCTACTCAGCAATGAAAAGGAATGAACTATTGATATATTCAACAATATGGATGAATGGCAAAATAATTAAAGGTCTAACACCTTTTGGTCAAAATAACCACCCTATGTTGTATGATTATATAAAAACCTAGAAAATACAGATCATAGGGACAGTAAACAGATCAGTGGTTGCTAGGGAATAGGGCTGTGGGGGGGGATGAGTTATAGAGGCATGAGGATATTTTGGGGGATGATGAATGTTATTTCCAAGGTCATGACGTCTCAAAGGCATACATATGTCAAAACTCATCAAGTTGCATGCTTGGTCAAGTTCTGTATCAGTAATGCCTCAGGAGAACTGTACAAAGCAATTAAAATTTAAATCTGATGGTACTGGGAAAGGCAGAGGGAAGGTGGGAAAGGAACACATTTTTAATGATGCTCATGAGTGAGCATGAAATCGTTACATAAATGAATAAATAAGAGCCAACATGGAAGAGAAATTTCAGATTGCCCTCTCCAACACCACTTCCTGTTGTCGGCGTTCGTGGCTGCAGCCGCCCCTGCAGCACGGCTCTTCCTGAGGCATCTTCCGGCACCTGGCTTAGCTGTGGCACCAGCACACCAGTCTCCACAGCTGGGTTGACCGAGGGCACATGGAAGAGACTTTTAGCTTGTTTTGCATCCCTTGCTGGCCCATTAAGTCTTTGACATCCATCAATACATTGTGGTCTCTGAATCTCCTCCTCTTCAAAATTTGTCTTTGTTATGGTCAAAACCATATTTATATTTGTTACACAGTGGGTTATGTGTCATTAACGAAAGCTGATACTTAGGTTGGTATTTCTGACCAGCACATTCTTTAAAGGCACATCTAGATATAGTTAACATGCTTTCTACTTCCCAGATTTATTCCAGTCAAACCCAGTTTAGTAAAAAACCAGGAGGAATTCTTTTCAACTTCCTGATTGGCCACATGCTTGCCTTCTTTTGTTTCTGCAGATTGGCTCTATATCCACTGTGGTCAGCACTCCCTCAGGACTTTCCGGATCCAGACCCAGGGCTCCAGACCCTCCCAAGTGAGTAGCCTAGCACCACCTCTGTCTGCGGAACCAGGGATGCTGTCTCACTGAAACCACTTTAGGCATCACCCTTACATCATCCTGGGGGGGATAAGCACGCTTTCCAGGGGAACAGACTATAAAGCAGTGCGAATTTGCAGTGAGAAATTGATGTCTAAAATCTAAGGAAACCAGTTATTTTTGTTTTGTTATTAATATATGCTATGTAGAACTTAGATAATATTGACTGTCTTACAGTAAACACTGTATTAATGAGAGAATATAGGTTTTTAAATATTAAACTAAATTCATTTCAATCCAACACATCTGGATTCACCTTGGAGCTTAAAACTGGCTGAGGAAGATGAAGTTATTTAACCAAACCCAGGGTCAGGTCAGCTAAAATGCTCTTTAACTTGTACAAATGAATTTTTGAGACCATGGTCTTCAAAGTGCCCAGGATCATTTCCATGGAAATGCCACAGCACAAGTTACTCAAATTTTAGTTGAATTTCCAAAGTGTTCAGATGTCACAAATATGATAGGAAGAGCTGTTCTTTTTTTAAAAGAAATAATAGGCTAAAGTGACCCTATGTCCTGGCTTTTCTGTAACTGATCCAATTCACTATCTTTTCAGTTTATAAAGGCAGTTCACTGACTACATTACAATGTAATATCTTAAGATCTCTCTGTCTAGAATTAGACATGGTGGTAGGCAACAGTGTATAAAAGAACATGGCCATAGGAGGGAATCAGCATTTCTGATTTTTTCCCAAATTACCAAGGAATACCACTCTCTTCAATAGGAGCAAGACCCTGCAAGGTTGTTGTACAGGAACTAGCTGAAAAGTGTCTTCCACTTTTCCTAAAATAGGATGACTATTTCCATTTAATGGCTTTTTAATTTTTTATTTCCCCATTTTATTTATTTACATTTCAGTAAGTTTAAATCCTTGAGAGGTATTGTATTACATGGATTCTGTGTCCAACGGCCTCAGCAGGAAGGTTCCTTTGGGATTTAGCATGAACCATCCACTGTTTCTGTGAGCATGAGCCTACCTTTCCGCAGGCAACTCTGGTTTTGTTCTGTTTTTCCCCAGGAGTTAGTGTGTTATTCTGTGCTTTGTGCTATACATAAGCACATCTCTTGCCTGTAGAATTCAGTTTCATCTCAAGCATAATACACCTTCAATGTTAAGACAAGCTGTGTGCTCCCTCTGGTTCCAGAGACCCTGCTTATAGCCAGCAAAAATGGCCTTGGCCCACAGCCTTCCAGAAGTATTTGTCGTTACAGGAGTCCTGTTCCCAGCAGGCCTCTGCAGGCTTCAAGATAGAAAAAGGAAGGCAAGCAAATGCCCTTTATTAAAAAAAACAGATCACCAGACTGCTGAGTATTTTTCTGTCGTTTTTTTTTTTTTTCCAATTGATTTTAGAGAGGGAGAGAGGGAGGGAAAGAGGAACATCGATTTGTTCTACTTATTTATGAATTCTTTGGTTGATTCTTTTATGTGCCCTGACCAGGAATTGAACCCACAACCTAGGTGTATTGGGATGACATTCTAACCAACTAAGCTACCTAGCTGGGGGCTGAGCTTGCTGTTTTGCATTGATTTTACATACTGGTGTCTTAGGCTGCTTTTTCTAACTGATGATCCATAGATGATTTGTCTACGTTTTTGAAAGAACATACTCTAATATAGAAAATAATGATTTCTAATCCTTTTATGTTCCCATTCCACAGTACTGCAGAATCAATAGCATATAAAGTACTGACAGATACCTGTATTTTGCAGGAAGGAGATTATAACTTCGGATTCCCTGGGAGAGGAAAACAGAACACTCTGGTCTTGCTTCCAATGATGCAAGTGTGATTGTCGGCATCTCCATGGGCTCCCGAGGTCACAGCACACTACCACGGACTCTTATGGCCCCTCGGATGATTTCTGAGGGAGACATAGGAGGCATTGCTCAAATCACCTCCTCTCTCTTCCTGGGCAGAGGCAGCGTGGCCTCCAACCGGCATCTCCTCCAGGCTCGTGGCATCACCTGCATTGTTAATGCTACCATCGAGATCCCCAATTTCAACTGGCCGCAATTTGAATATGTTAAAGTGCCTCTGGCTGACATGCCTCATGCCCCCATTGGACTGTACTTTGACACCGTGGCTGACAAGATCCACAGTGTGAGCAGGAAGCATGGGGCCACCTTGGTGCACTGTGCGGCAGGGGTGAGCCGCTCGGCCACCCTCTGCATTGCTTACCTGATGAAATTCCACAGTGTGTGCCTGCTGGAGGCGTACAACTGGGTGAAAGCCCGGAGGCCTGTCATCAGGCCCAACGTGGGCTTCTGGAGGCAGCTCATAGACTACGAGCGCCAGCTTTTTGGGAAGTCAACAGTTAAAATGGTACAGACACCTTACGGCATAGTTCCAGACGTTTATGAGAAAGAGTCCCGACACCTGATGCCTTACTGGGGGATTTAATGCCACCAAAGTTTGCATCAGCAGCCCCTTGGGCAGGACCAGCATCTGCTACACACCGTTTGCTCCCCTCTTCACCTTTCTTTTCAAAGGATTGACTTTTGATTCTCCCTGAAGTGTTTTTTACACTGGGTGTTCAAGTTTATTTTAATTGGTATGGGGGCAGGGGACATAAGGGGAATGCATACATTGCTAGTAACATTTTTAAAACCAACATTTTGGAATAGTGTTTATGAAAATCTTTCACTTTTAATTTTTAATAATTTGAACAGTTTAATAAACTGGTTCTGCTCTATTTTGAATCCCATGCCTCTTGGCATCATGAGAGGTGCAGGAGGAGCTCAGTGCAAAAATCACTTTGGGTCCTGGTTAACCCTCTAGAGACAAGCTCTGCCTAAGGCTGCTGACCACCCAAGTGCTTAGGGAAGATTGATACCAGCTTCCGTCTCTATTGGATTAGCCCTATTCTTTCCTTCCCCCTTTATTATTTAGTAACTTTGTAAGTCAAAACAAAATGATTATTTAGCTGTTAAGTAACTATAATGAAATCTGCTGCAAATACCCTCTTGAAATTAATATGCTCCAGGACTATATCAACATTATTTTTAATAAACCTATCTGCTTAACATTAGAATTTTTACTAAGGATTTCAGAGGGGTGGAGGTGGGGCGGCGGTGGTGGCGGGGAGGGGTGTGTGTGTAAGAATGATGCTGTGTGTGTAAGAATGATGCTCTCCCATAATTAGGTTAAAATGCGGCTCCTGTGACAATGATGAACACTACTTAAAATAGACATCCCAGCTGAATCATGTCAACATTTCACATCCTTGCAGATGGGCAAATATTATTTACAGTGCTGGAACGGTGGAAAAGAGCATAGAGTGTACACTGATAAAAGGTAGTTTTCAGTTGTCTCTTGGTAACTGGAGTGCACCAAAGCAGTGAATCCTCCATCAAAGAAACTGGTTTTTCATAAAGGTTGTGCCTTTTTTTGCTTGACTATTAAGACACACAAATGCCCTAAACCAAACTTTAATGCAGAAGATAAGCAAATAACAGTAGCTTCCCCTGTTGAAACCAGGACAAAGTTTCAACTGCTCCTAATAAGTGTGACAATACAACTCGTCAGGGACCTGGTGGTTTAATTAGCTCTCCTCTCCCACCTCCTGAGAAGTCACTGGGCACTGCCAGGCGGCCCCTTCCTGTTAGTGACGGCAGCCACTTGGCACAGCACTGCATTTTTTTTAACCTCATTTTTTTTTTAACCTCATTTGCCAGGTAGGTTGTAGCTAGTTATTTGTGGAATAAGTTTCTAGATTTTTGGTCTATTTTGGCAAGAAGCCATGAACGTAATGCCAGTGGCTGTGTATTTATATAAATTATATCTTCCAGATTTTACCTGGTCTGTGGCAGGTGGTTTCCATCCAATTTCTACCTTTTCTTATTTCATACCATTTGCCCACTTTTTATAAACATGCACCTTACTGTCTAAATAGAAAAATTCAAATAAAGTTTCTATGGGAAATGAGAGGAACCATAAATGCTACATCAGCACATGATCAAAAATCAAAAGAACAAACCAATCCTCCGACTATAGAGTCTATGGCTTCTTTAGCATGAGGACAAACTGTAAGTCTCACAGTTTCTGGATGAAAGTCCAAAAAAATCATTGTACCACAGTAAGAAAATACCTAGTGACAGATGTTCTTGGTAATTAAGGAAAATTTCCTGCAGAAATCCTGGCAAACACCACTACTGGGATGTAATAACTAAGAGCATTCTTAGCACCAGGGAAGCCTAGCACCTTTCTAATCTACATGTCAGTTTATTTGCTGATCACAAAGGAAGGTGGATGACCTAGAAGGTGTTAGGGGGATTTTGGGGTGATCCCAGGCAGGACATTTCAGATTTCTGTAACACAAAGGCCTATAATCTTTTCAAAGCTTAAGAACACACCTGTCTTTAAATAAAAATGAGAAGCCATCTTCAAACAAACATGCAACCTCAGAAATGCTCAATTTAAAACATGCAACCTCTATAGAGTGTCACAGGAAAAATAAAACACAGGTAATAGCCTAATAACCCCTGTGCTACTTCTACTCGAAGGATGTCCAGACAAAAATTACACACTATGCCATAAAAATTTTAAAGGCAAAACACAGTTTTTAAAGAAGGGCTTACTAATTGCCACTCAAGCACTGGGGTGAAGCTGCCAGCACAATACACAGTATGGAAATAAGTAACCTTGGTTACTGTTTCCAAGGACACTGGACTCTTGGCTAACAAGAGCTGAGGTGAAGCTGAATGCAGTGCTGAGTCATTTTAATAAACTTGCATAAATAAAATCAATGCAATGGTATTCCATACTCCCCAAGTCCTTACAGGTGGTGTATCTAATAAAACATTTCTATTAAACAGATATTGAAACTAATGACTGCTTTTCATAACGAAGGCCATTTGTTGATGTTTGCTGTATTTCCCTCTTGCACCTCCCGTGGAGTGACTAAACCTACCACGCTTGTTAAGGTCAGCAGTAATACTTAGAAATTTTATCTAAGGCATTCTGGAATACATCTAGGAATGGAAAGCAATGTAGTTAGCAGGTGAGCATACTTTTAAAAATGTTACTGATACAGACCACTGTGATAGAGTAATAATCCATATAGCATTTCCCCAAAATAGTCAACAGTGCACATTCTGTCAAACTGGGTGACATTCTTACAGCAAAAGTAGACTTTGTTATGGTCTGTTATGGCATAAACAAAACCAATTAGAAGCCTGCTTGAATTTGGGTGTCATTTGAACCCCTGGGTGCTGCACAGGCTGAACTGGAGCACAGGGACAGCCTGTGCAGGAACAGCCTGCTAGAAATTGGCCCACGTATGTGGTTACTAACACTCCACTACACCTGTGGAAGGCAGAGGCTCTGAAGGTAATTCAGCAACAGCTGTCTCGGTCCTTAGTGGATGGAGATGGTTATCAGCTGGAGCAAATGAGAAAAACAGATGCATCAGCACTTCTCTACATTCCAGCGCACAGCAAAGTAAAGCAGAAGCCTCATCCATCTCTGTTTAATGAAATACATTCTGTACCTTTTTTGAAGAAGATGGAGGTAAAAGATGTAAGATGGAACAAAACATTTCCCTGAAGTTTTGTCCTGAGAAGGGAAAGTAATCAATTATGTAAAGCAGCAATTATATAGGCAAAACCAAATTTTTCAGTTCACAAGTAAAAACTAAGTCTAGGTCAGAGAGCGTAAGTCATACAAAGCAAAACATGTTCAAAAGCACATAATTTACAATTGGGAGAAATGTGTCCTAGACTGGAATGTTCTTCCTAGGAATAACACAGTTTTTACCCTTGTGGCTTTCTCCCTTGATTTTATGCATTTAGTTTAAGTGGCAAAATTCTCTACAATAGCATGAGCCTTTTCTTTTTAAACTTTAGTGCTCTTTTTGAACAATTTCCTTCCACTACTTCTAAGTTCTGTTACCTTTACCGAAAATACACATCCTATTATTCGCCTCACTAGGCCAGGAGTTCCACCTCCTAATCCTAAATTTTTAGGTCTCATGTAGATGCTGCTAAGTCACGCAGTATTGGTACCTATGCAGTAATTTTTGGAAGTTTGGACAGAGGCCACTGCAAAAAGATTTCATTCAGCTGCCTTTCCGAATCTTGTCTGAAAAAAGTACTATGTTCACAGTCTGTGTGTGAGGTAAAGCAGAAGGTTTTCAGTGAGGAATCCGAAGGGGAAGAATATTCATCTTGACACTCAAGGATTTGGGCCTCTGTCCAAATGAAAATTCTGCACTGCTAAGTGCCCAGGTCTGTTAAGAGGAAAAGTCTTGAAAGTTGACAGTTTTTGAAATGAATGAAGAGTAGAGAACTGGTTCGCTTGCATCAGCGAAGTTAGTAAATCTGCCCTTACCTACCTTTCACTGTTCAATGGAGATGGACAGAATTTTTTCTGTAAAAAGAACATTTAGTTTAATCACAATTTCCCCTCTTTATTCATTTCAGATATTTACACACTAAATGGGGATAAGCACTCTACTTCACAGGACAATAAGTGTTCTACATATAAATAAGCACTGGCTCAAAACATTCTTCCCAATTCCAATCCTACAACAATAATTTAATTTTCTTCGATGAAATTTGAAGAAAATTTCTTCAAATGTCAGTTCTTCACAGTTTCAATACTGCAGCAGCGAATTATTCCTTAAAGAAAACTGTGGTCCATAGTTTAAAACACCTTAAGAGAACAGAGGTAAGTTAGCAACCTTCTGGTGCCACATGCAGTTTGGGTAGGGCAATGTTAACACAAATTCCATAGACCGGCAGTAGTAACCAGGGGACAAAGGTCATCTGTAGGAACAACTAAAAACTTCTGCAGCTTTTTTCATGCCCACCTCTTGGGGAATTCTTCATATAAAGTCATACAGGTGAACTCAGCAGTACTTGTATTCTGTTCATTGGTCCCTGTCACCCATGGGTGTGACAAAAAACAAAAACAAAAAAACAACAACATAACCCAGCTGGTACTTCATAGAGGAGCTTTTTAGAGCAAATCCGGCAGGATGAGGCCAGGAGGTTTTGGTTCAACACAGTTGATCCAGAAGTTGGCACAGCTGGCGTGATACTGGTGTCCTCCATAAGCCAGCTTGAAACTGTCTGTTTCTGAGTTGAACGCCTGCCGGGTAGAAACAGACACGTGGAGCAAGTGAGGCTTCTGCACTTAAGAGCTGATCAGCAACCAGCATGTTCACTTCTGCAGGTCAAAGAGGTCAAGGCCAAACTGGCACACATACAAAAGCTGAGCAGGTGGCTATAGAAATTCAGGTCAGAAAGTGTTTCACTGCTAACTAAAGGTATAAAAAAAATCTTTATCATTAAACCCAATTTCAGCAAAAGAGGGCCAAATCTTTTATAGGAAAGGCAGAGTCTATGGGGGTGGGTAAGAGAGTGTCATGATATGGGGAACTGAAACAGCCAAAGGCTGTGGCTAATTTTTATCCCTCATTGTGCTGAAGGAAGCCCCTTCCCAAAGCCTGTCATTTGACTATAACATGTAATCCCTTAAGTTTTGGTGGTTAATTACAGTCTTATCATGAAAGAAAACATAAGACTATAAACTCTTAGAGTCCAATGCCATTGGGAGCTGATAACTGAATCAACATAATTAAAAAGTCCAAATAGGTACCGGTTTGTAAAAAAAAAAAAAAGAAGAGGAAGAAGAAGAAGAAATTAAACACAGGAGAATTATTTCCAGATGAGTAATGCTTATAGGTGAGTTACAGCCAGCCACTCCTAACCACATCCGGGGGTGCTTTTTAAAGCACTTCAAATAAATAAAACTCTAAAACCCTAATGATTTGCTTTTTGTCTGATAATGGCCAAATCCTGAAGCTCTTTGATCTCACTGTATGTCACTGTAATTTCCAGTCTTCCAGAAGGTGCTCATTCTGTTACCCTGCTCATCACAGAGAAAAATAACCACAACACCAGAAGCCAATTATGAGAAATAAGCATGCAAACAAGACAGAAGTGGATCCACACAGACAGCTGACTAAATCAAACGTGGGAGCAAAGGTGACTCAGTGAAGGATTCATGATTGG